CAGTTCCGGTGGCTGGGAATTCCAATATCAATGTGTCAGTATCTGGCGAGGGCCTTCGTACTACATCATACCATGGTGGAAGGAAGAAGGCAAGTGAGGGTGACAGTGAGAAACGAGAGGGGTAATCTGGCTTCTATAACAACCCACTCTCTCTATAACAAACCCACTTCCCCAGTAATGACATTAAGCCATTCATGAGGGCATATCTCTCATGGTCTAATCACCTCTTATCATTCCCACCTTTTAAATCTATCATAATGGCAATTAAATTTCAACATGAGGTTTTTGGGTTTTTTTTTTGGTTTTTTAACTTTATTTGATATATTTGACAATCAGTGGTTAGTTCTCATCCACGTTGACTGTCTGTAGATTTTTAAAAGTGGTAACAGGTACATAGGTAACCAAAATATAGACCTTGTTTGGTGAATCTTCATCCTTATTACGTTTCCTGGACAACTGCACATGAATCCTGTATGGGACATTCCTTATTCCTTTGGCCCAGACAGCTTTGTTGAGCCTGGTATCGATGCACACATCTGGAGTTCCCATCTCCTTCATGGCAAATTTCCGGATCTCTTTGAGTGCCCGAGGGGCACACTTCTTGAAGCCCACTCCATGGATGCGCTTGTGAATGTTGATGGTGTATTCTGGTCACCACTTCCTTAATAGCAGAATGGCCCTTCTTCTTCTCGCCACCCTTCTTAGCGGGAGCCATTCTGCTGGGCCCAAGTCAGAAAAGCTCAACATGAGTTTTGAAGGGAACATTCAAGCCATGGTAGTTTTGAACTTCTTTATGTATTCTGGATACAAGACCTTTATTATATATATGATTTGCAAATGTTTTTTTACCAGGCTGTGGGTTGTCTTGTCATTTTTTTCAGCAGTATCTTTGCAAGGACAGAGGGTTTTAATTTTGCTGAAGTTTAGTTTATCAATTTTTTTCCTTTCCTTTTTTTTTCATATTTAAGATATCTTTGTCTAACCAAAGGTCATAAATATTTTCTCTTGTGTTTTCTTCTAGAAATTGTATGGGTTTGTGATCCTTTTTGAGTTTTGTTGTTTTCTTTTAAATATGTGCAAGTTATGGATGAGCATACATTTTTTTGCATATGGATATCCAATTGTTTCAGCTTCATTTATTTTAAGGACTATTTTTCCTCCACTGAATTGCCTTTATACCTTTGTCAAAAATTGGGTCTTGGCAGGGCGTGGTGGCTCACGCCTGTAATCCTAGCACTCTGGGAAGCCGAGGTGGGCAGATCGTTTGAGCTCAGGAGTTCTAGACCAGCCTGAGCAAGAGCAAGACCCTGTCTCTACTAAAAGTAGAAAGAAATTAATTGGCCAACTAAAAATATATAGAAAAACTTAGCCGGGCATGGTGGCGCATGCCTGTAGTCCCAGCTACTCGGGAGGTTGAGGCAGAAGGATTGCTTGAGCCCAGGAGTTTGAGGTTGCTGTGAGCTAGGCTTGACACCAAAGGACTCTAGCCGGGACAACAGAGTAATACTCTGCCTCAAAAAAAAAAAAAAAATTGGGTCTTCATATATATATGTGGCTCTATTTCTGGACTTTCTATTCCATTGATTTATATGTCTATCTTGATGCCAAAACCATAGTCTTGATTATGTCAGCATTTTTATGTGACATAAATGCAGCATTATGTCAGCATTTATATTGTGTCTTAAAATCTAATAAAATTAGTACTCTTTGTCTTTTCACATGTTTAGCTATTCTAGCCTTTTTGCATTTCCATGATGAATTTTAGAATTACCTTATCAATTTCTACAGAAAACCTTGCTGAAATTTTTAGTGAAATTATATTAAATCTATAAACCAATTTAAGAATTAACATCTTAATATTTAGTTATATTAATATAAATTTATAATTATACTTTTATCTCTTTAATTATATAAGAACAAAGGAGGCATTATAAACCAAAAATACAGTAATACTGGCTTTTTTAGTTATTTAAGTAGACTTTTGGCTTCTAGTTATTGTCTAGTGTCCTTTCACTTCAGCCTGAAAGACTCCCTTAGCATGTCTTGTAGGGCAGTTCTACTAGCAGTGAACTCCCTCAGCTTTTGTTTATGTGGGAATATCTTAGTTTCTGCTTTTTTTCCAGAATATTATGGGAGTATAAACTTTTTGGTTACATAAATTGCTTTTGTACTGTTTGAGTCTAGGCTATAAGTGTGCCCATCCCCCACATAATGTGCATTGTACCCTTTGGGTGAGAATTTACCCATCCTTTCCTCCCCCCTCCCACCTGTTTGATTTGCAATGCATGTTATTTCCATATGTGCACTTAAGTGTTAATCGATTAGTTCCAATTTAATGGTGAGTATATGTGGTGTTTGTTTTTCCATTCTTGTGATATTTCACTTAGAAGAATGGTCTCCAGTTCTGTCCAGGTTAGTATAAGAGGTATTAGTTCCTTTTTTTTTTTTTTTTCCTATGGCTGAGTAATATAATAATTTTCTTTGGTGTAGAATTCTTGGTCAATAGTTGGGTTTTATTTTGTTTTGTTTCCCAGCATTTTAAATATGTTATACCACTTCCTTGGGCTTCCATGGTTTCTGATAAGAAATTGGCCTTTAATCTTATTAAGGATCTGATGTACATTTCAAGTCTCCTCTCTCTAGCTAACAAGAGTCTCTCTTCATCTTTGGCTTTTGACAGTTTGATTATACTGTGTCTCCGTGTAGAACACTATGAGTTTATCCTACTTAGAGTTCATCAAGTTTCTTGGATGTGTAGATTCATTTCTTTTATTAAGTATGAGAAGTTTTGAACCATTATGTCTTCAAATATTTTTCCTGCCTCTTTCTCTTCCCCTTCTGGAATTCACATTATGTGTATTTGGTATGATTGATGATGTCTCACAAGTCTTTTAGGCTCTGTTCATTTTTCTTCATTCTTTTGATTTCTGCTCCTTATTCTGGATAATTTTAATTTCTCTATCTTCAAGTTTACTGATTCTTTATTCTCTCTGCTCATATCTGCTGTGAAATATTCACTGTAGTTACTATTTTAGTTTCAGTTGTACCTTTCAGGTCCAAAGTATCTTTTTGATTGCTTTTAATAGTTTCTATCTCTTTATTGCTATTCTCCATTTATTGAGACATTGTTTTCCTGGTGTCCTTTAGTTCTTTGTCCATGGTTTCTTAATTTTTTGAACATATTTAAGATGGTTCATTTAAAGTCTTTGTGTAGTAATTCCAATGTTTGTACTTTCTCAGAGACAGTTTCTGTTAATTTCTTTTTTTCCTGTGAATGGGTCATATTTTCTTGTTTTTTTTTTTTTTTTTTTTTTTTTAGACAGAGTCTCACTTTGTTGCCCAGGCTAGAGTGAGTGCCATGGCGTCAGCCTAGCTCACAGCAACCTCAAACTCCTGGCTCAAGCAATCCTCCTGCCTCAGCCTCCCAAGTAGCTGGGACTACAGGCATGCGCCACCATGCCCGGCTAATTTTTTTTGTATATATATTAGTTGGCCAATTAATTTCTTTCTATTTATAGTAGAGACGGGGTCTCGCTCTTGCTCAGGCTGGGTTTGAACTCCTGACCTCGAGCAATCCGCCCGCCTCGGCCTCCCAGAGAGCTAGGATTACAGGCGTGAGCCACCGCGCCCGGCATTTTCTTGTTTCTTTGTGTGCTTTGTAATTTTTTGTTTAAAACTAGACATTTTGAATATCATGATGGTCAAAAAAGAAAAAATAGAGAATTTATAACAAAAAGAATAACTCTCCAGGTCTTTGTAGATTGGCTCTGTTTTGGGGCCTTCCTTTATAACTTATCCAGGCCTTTTACAACATTGCAAGGCCTTCACTTCCTGCTAGCCCTAAGCCTAAACACCACCCAATTATGAAATGAAAGCTTATGTGGTCTGCCCAGGCCTTTTCTAAACATACATCCTGCCCTGTACATGTGCAAGTCTTTCTAGGTTCTCCATTTTATGTGGGAACTTTTCAAAATCCTTAAATGGACTATGGTGCAGGTATGCAGTGAGTGTATGCACAGAAAGAACATTATTAGATTTCTGGTAGGTTCAAAGTTCAGATTTGTTTGTTGCAGAATACAAGTTATTATGAAGCAATAAAAATGTTGCCAAGATAGTATCAAGGATTTTTAGCATAAAATAGGCTTCTCAGATAAATATACCCAGGTTAAATATGGTGTGGGATATACTTACACTTAAAAATTATTTGTTTATCTAAAATTCAAGTTTAAGTGGGCATTCTATATTTTTATTAGCTAAATCTGGCAACCCTAGCCTAACACCATCTTTTGGAAAGTTTTTTAAAGGTAAAGAAAGTATAAATATCAGAGCAGGTGAAAAGACTGAAGCTTAATAAGAACAAATCCAAAAACAAGTCTGAAGGGATTCTGGATGACAGTCCACCACAGTATCCAAGGTCTGTTTTTCAAAAAGGAGTTAAAACCAGCTTTCCCCCAAAGGGAGACTATTGTTCATTGTTGATGTATAGGAATACTACAAGATGGAACTTTTTTTGATACTACCATTGGAACTATTAATAGTTTAAAGAAGAGATGTCTTTCAATTTTAAGGTTGGAATGAAGAACTCTTAACTAGGGATAAAGGAGAAAAAGCTCACCTAGAGACAGAAGATAGCCAAATGCCAAAATTTCATCAAACTCAGGCTTATTTTTGAAGTGGAATTAGTGACTATTGACTGAAATAATAGGGCTGCAAATCAACAATGACATAAACCTGTGGCCTTGTAGAAACATCTGTAACTTATTCCAGTTGCTTACTCTTATGGATAATTCTTTAAGGAGTTAAGTTAAATCTTGCTTACTTCTCACCTTTTGAGAATATGATCCTTTACAAATCCTTGAAGTCCAAAATATATTATGATTGCTGTATAAAACACCGGTTAAAGAAAACTGATTTTTCTTTTTGCTCACATTGTGAACTAAAAAGCTCAACTCATTTTTTTTTTAAAGACACACAGTTTTAACATGTACTTTGCATTACAGGCAGTGAGGTCACTCAAGGAGACAATCGAAGACTGTTGGGACCAGGATGCAGAAGCTCGGCTTACTGCACAGTGTGCTGAGGAGAGGATGGCTGAACTTATGATGATATGGGAAAGAAACAAATCTGTGAGCCCAACAGTCAATCCAATGTCTACTGCTATGCAGAATGAGCGGTAAGACCCCGAGGGGTTTGGCATCTATCAACCAGCATTAGAAACTGAGACCAAACAAAGAACAGGAAATAAATACTGTTGACCAGTCTGATGGTGCAATGATAAACTCATATGGTCTGAAGTTATAATTTTTCCTTCAAAATTCCCATTCTACTGAAATTTTTGTTTGGTATGAGTATAAGATGGAATCTGTCTTTTTTATATTTAAAACAGTAGTAAAGGAAATTAGTCTTTCTCTCTTGACATTCCAACTTTCTTGTAATAATAAAGGCAAAACATTTTTATAGTTCTAAAAGTTTGTGAGGACTTCTACATATATTGTCTCATTTATCCTTTGTTATTTTTCCTTCCTCCCTGCTTTTTCTTTTTAAAAGTAAATGGAACCATGAACTTACCTATGTATCTAACCACAGATTCACTGATGCTAAGGTTTTCAGACTTCCTATGCAATGCTCTTTCTTACAGAACACATTATTACTACTTTTACTTGAATACAATTCAAAGGTCTTTCCATTCCATCATAAACATTATTTTATGAGACATTTCTTTTATTAGAACTATGATTTTTGGTTCTAAATTAAAGGGCTTTTAAAAAATTCCTACAACTTGGAACTTTCAGATTGTCATCTATATTTCTTTTTTCCATGTTTAGGGGAAAAAAAGCCTTCCTATGAATTTGTCACTTTATGTAATACATTTTTATAACTTTCAGAAAGGCATCCAGGAAAGGGTTACTGGAGAAAATTAAGATAAAATTACAATTGATTCTTGAATCAATTTCTTTGTTATTTTCTATTCTTCTAATTTCTAAGAGCAATTTATATTTTGAACTATGGGTTGAAAATTGAGTCTGGCTACTAATGTATGGGTTGAATTAGCTTCAGATATAAACTTTTATAGTTTATACATCAGTAAGTCAAGGAAGGTGTGAACTAAGAATTCTAAATATAAATCATCTTACTTTACACATACCTGAGGACAGTGTTCTGCTTTCATCTTCCCTCATCTCTGTATTTTTCATGTCCCCTAATATGCTATTTATAGCTCTCTCAAAATTCAGCTAAAGGCTGGGCACAGTGGCTTATGCCTGTAATTCTAGCACTCTGGGAGGCCAAGGCAGGAGGATTGCTTAATGTTAGGAGTTCAAGACCAGCCTGAGCAAGACCCCATTGAAAAATTAACCGGGCATGGTGGTGCACTCCTGTAGTCCCAGCTGCTGGGGAGGCTGAGGCAGAAGGATGAGCCCAGGAGTTTGAGGTTGTAGTGAGCTATGATGATGCAACTGCATTCTAGCCTGGGCAACAGTGCCAGACTCTGTCTCAAAAAAAAAAAAAAAAAGAAAACAGAATAACGATTTTCAGACTGGTAATCTGGGCTGAGGGAGTGACAAGACCAAAGAGATAAGGAGTGGAAGTGCACGGCTGGCTTGGGAAGGCTGGACACATGCAGGCCTTCAGGGAGATGGCTATGAAAAGCAGGGCCAGAGTTGGTGGGGGAAGGGCATACATGTCACACTGGAAAGCAAAGTGTTAACGGCCACACAACTGGACCCTTGGGCGAAGCAGTGGATTCCCCTTCATTCTCTTCTCCCTTCAGATATCGAAAAGTATTTGCTTCCTTTAAACAGTAAAAATTGTAAGCCAGGTACAGCGGCTCATGCCTGTAATCCTTGCACTTTGGGAGGCTGTGGCAGGAGGATCGCTTGAGGCCAGGAGTTTGAGACCTGCCTGAGCAATATAGCAAGACTCCTGTCTCTAGTCTTTAC